GGGAAAAACCAATTACAAAAAAAAAAAAAAAAAGAGTCCATTTCTCAAAAAAAAGCGATATGATCATTATTCTGCCTGTTATCCAAGTAACACGTGTACGGCTTCATCGCAGACTCGGCCTTTGTTCATTAAAAACAGGTAACTTGGTCCAGGAGCGATAACATAGGCGTTAGGTGGGCTCTCGATTTTGATGGTAAACTCATTTTCGTTACCAGTCGGTTCAATATCCACCACATTTAATTCGACAAACCGTTGGCCCATACTTGTAGAATGCGTAACAAAGCCAAAGTGAATTAACGAAGCAAATATCTCCGGTTCTGGATCCGATGTCTTTATATTAACAGTCAATGTTTGGTCATAGTTGATCTTTATTGGTACTCCAGAGTACGATAATGTATCTTCGCCGAGAAGAGATGTGATTGTGAGTCGAGGCGTAGAAGAAGTAAAGTAAGGTGGGTAAAATTTCTCAGCCCGATATTCTGTTGGAAAAAGCGAATTGGGATTAAAATTGGGCTGCGGATTGCTTCCGGACACGAAGATACTGCCATCGTATATGAGCGTTGCCGTGGAGTGATACATTCTAGCAATCGTGCTGGGTGCAAGAGTCCTCCAACGATTGCCCTTTTCTTTCGCTGGGTCGTATAAAACTGGTGTAAATACTGGGTCGCTGTTTACGAATCGTGTTCCTTTATCTTTAACATAACCGGCGAAGCCTCTTTTGGCTCCGTTAATAAAAACGACTTGTCCATTTGGTAGAATGACACTATCGGGCATAATTCTTCCGATGCCACCAAAGTCGTCCATATCCCATGTTGGTTTATCTTTGCTGAGGTCAATTCTTCCGCAACTGTTCGATGCTTTCGCTTTTGTTACCCTCTTAGGACTTCCGCCACATATCAAAATCTCGGGTTTATAATTATTGCGGTACGACAGTGGGAGCAATACCGATGTACCGGTAAGGGGATATGAGCGAGGCGGACCAGGGATGTCAGGAAGGACGGCTATGGTCTCTCTCGTTTCATAATTAAAAAGAATTGACTGTTTGTTGGCAAACAAGAATATAGTGTCTTCGCGATCAGGAAGTACATGTACTTGTGGGTAAAGGTTATTTGGAAGCCTAAATAGCATAATTTTAGAGAAAGAGGTTAGAACAGATAACGATTTAAGAGCAAACATTTGAGGACGTTTATGAGCACTTACGTGTCAATTAAAAACTGCAACGGTATTTGTTCGCGACTACGTGGGTAAATCTCAAAAGTGGGGTTGTTTACCTCTTTGGTGTTAAGTGCGACCGAGCGCGTAGAGCCGCCCACGATAAAAACATTGCCATCCGGAAGCCTAGGAATGAATTAAAAGTCGGATAAGTTAAACATTCTTGCCTGACGGACAACATGTGACATGTTTTTACATTTATAATTTATACTCACGTAGCCATTGTATTATACCATCTTGCATTTAACATGGTATCTGGAATTTCATTCCAAATACATGAATCATCTTCGCAAGGAGTAAAAAGTCTTATCTTTCTATAACCTGCACCGGTCAAATGCATTCCATCACCGCCAGCTGTCTCAACAAGCGTTCCATTTGCAAGAAAAGCTCCTGCTGAGCAAAAGGTATCGCTCGTTAGTTTCAGCGTGCGGAATGTGTTTTCTGTGAGAGAGTATTGAGTGGACCAGCCGGTTTTGCCGTCGGGAAGAATTGCCTCTCGATTTCGTTCGGCTAAAAAATATTTAGGAAAAAGTTGGATTATTTTTTTGAAACGAAA